GAGTGGTGCCCAGCACAAATACGCAGCTCCTGCACCAATTACTCTGAGTAAGAATAAAGTCTCCAGGTATTATACAAGAGGCCACCTTCATTTCAGGAATTGGAATGTTATGTTACTTAACAGTTTAAAACATTTTGTAGCAACTTGTCATGTCAAAACATAATTACTCATCCTCTTTCTAACACATGAAGTTTAGCATCAGCCGGCAAGAAGTCCCAACAAAATATGGTTCATCTGACAAAAGAACAGCAAGTGTCCTGCTTATTTATGCTCCTGTTTCCACTCCACTTTGGAATTTCATAGCCTCTTCTAAACGGAATGAATGAGATACCGTAAATCCCAGCACTTCTCCCTCACAGGTCTAATTTTTCAATGTCATCTACACCCACACTGGACACGCTTCATTTCTATCATGACTTAAAATTGACTGTATAAACTCGTGAGCTGTGACACGTTGGGTTTTTCTTGAGGGGAGAGAGGGAAAATAGGTATATTTCTGATGACCTTGTCTCCAATGAAGAAAGACAGGCAGTCTCTCCTCTCACACTTCTGTAAACCCACTGGAAGGTCAGCCACGAGGCATTTCTTAATCGACACCATGGAGTTTGAGTGTGAGGTTTGGAAATGAAAATAAAGTTAGACAGTGTTAGTGAGAATCATTTAAAGATTTTTAAAAATTGAGATTGATGGGAGATAACGTAACTAGGCCTTGAACACAGATCCCTGACATCTCATTCTCTGTTCTTCTGCTATACTGCACAAATTTACATTAATAAAGTGAACCAAAGTCAGTTATGGAATCTATTTCCACAACAGACATTTTACATGTGAAATATCTGACACTCTATAAATGTGGAAAGAAGAGTGATTATTTTAAAAACAATGCTTTTCATGCAAAACCAAATATTTTGCTTTCTTCTGTAAAAACTGCCAGTAAACACTAAAGACTATGTTGTTGTTGACTGCCTTCGAGTCGAGCACAACTCATAGAGACTCTATGAACAAGAGGCTTGAAGACACTTAAAAGACTCTCAGAAAAAAAGACCCCCAATAAGACTCTCCAAATAAGAGAGATTTCCCACAGGAATAAATCAAAGGACATTAGCTGAGAAGAAGGAGAAAAGAATTACTTTTTCAGTGGAACCAGAAAATTTCTGTGAAGCCCCTACTTAAGGACAAGGTAAGCTTAAGAAACAAAACCTCCATTTTTACTGCTATTCAGTCAGACTGACTCCGAGCTGACCGTCTGGTGGGTTTTTGGAAGCTATAAACTGCAGAGGGGGAGACAGCCCATCTTCCTCCCACAGAGCAGCTGGTGGACTCAACTGCCAGCGAGGCTCCTCCTTTGCACCAGCAGCACAGCTCCCTGTGGATGACACCACCACAGCTCCACTGAAAATGTATTTTTTACTTCTAAAAGTAAGAATTTACAGAAATCAGATCAGAAAAACTCGTTAGGTACTCTTAGCTAACAACTGGCAAACAGTAATAGCTTTCCAACCAGAACAAAATCAAACCAATACACTGCTGACACGTCAATTCCAACTCATTGCAACCCCACGTGACAAAGCAGAATGGCCCCATTGGGTTTCCAAGACTTTAAATCCTCATGGAAGCAGACTACTAGATCGTCCTCCTCAGAGCACCTAAGGGTTTGAACCATTGACTTTTTGGTTCGCAGCTGAATGTTTCAACCCAGCATCCCCAGAGCTCCTAGCCTCCTGACTGACCACCACAGACTCAGAGACCCATGTTTTTAAAACCATGACCTTGAGAAGGAGAAGACTAGCCTATCTTTCTCATGTGGAGCAGCTGGTGAATTCGAACTGCCACTTCATACAAGGCCACTGGAGCACCTCAGCTTCCCAACAAAGAACTATAAACTAAAATAAAAATGATTAAGAATGTTTTAAAAACAAACAAAAACTTTAAATATGCAGTTGGACAGCAGGGTTGAATATGACTGACTGCAACTCTAGGACTGCAACATTTTTAAAAATTCACTAGCTTGCATATATAGCTTTCAAAGTGTATTTTTAAAAGCTTGTCAGGGAGTAAAAAACAAATCTGTTTCTACATACAATTTTAACAACTAATAACTTTATATAATGGTTTCTAAGTTTTAATATGCAAAATTTGCAATTTTATGGTACTACTTTGCAGACAGAATAATTAAGAATGTGTGTATATACACACACATACATATATGTGTGTGTACATATATTATCTCTTTATATGTATATATATCAGCATACATATACCTACACATACATATATGTAAGTGTATATTAAGGTTGAGGTACCATTTAAATACTAACACCATGGAAACGTCTTGATGCTACATTCCTCAATGAAGAGGAGTGTGGCATCAGGATCTGAAGGAGACTCATCCATCAATAACCCACGTTATGCAGATGACACACCTTGCTTGCTAAAAGTGAGGAAGACTTGAAGCACTTGTTACAGAAGACCAAAATATGAATTGCATCTCAATGTCTAGAAAACAAAGATGCTTACCCCTGGACATAATGATGGATGGAGAAAAGATTGAAACTGTCAACAACTTCATCTTACTTAGATTCACAATTAACACCCTTGATACCAGGAGCCAGGAAATCGGGAGATATATTGCACTGGGAAAATCTGCAGTTAGGGAACTTTTCAAATTACTGAGGAGTACTGATGTCAATTTGAGGACTAAGGTGTGTCTGAATCAGACCATGATCTTTCCGATCACTTGCTATGCATCTGAGACCTAGACAATGAATGAGGATGACAGAAGAATTGATGCCTTTAAGCTGTGGTGTTGGAAAAGAGCACTGAGCATCCCATAGACAGTCAGAAGAACAAACAAATTTGTCTTGGAGAGGGTGCAGCCAGAGTGTTCTTTCGAGGGAAAGATGAAGCTTTGCCTCACATATACTGGTCATATTGCTAGGAGGGGTTATTCCTTGGAGAGGCACATGACACCCAGAAAGGTAGGGGGTTGATGAAGGAGAGGAAGACCATTGACTAGGAGGATTGACACGGTGACTACCACAATGGGCTCTAATGTGTCAGGAAATGTGAGAATGACACAGCATAGGACAGCTGTTGTTCACAGGGTAGCTATGGGTCGTACTTGAATCGATGGCACCTAATAACAATATTTTAAGGTCAAGGTACCATTTAAATACTAACACCATGAAAACGTTGTTCTGAAAAATCTATTTAAAAATAGAATCACATTTATAAAACAAACAACTAGGAATTTATTTTACAAAAAAAGTGTCACATAACGGGGCTTCTATCTCAAAATAACATGCTAGACTAGAAACAGAAATCAGGAGTTCCCAAACCAAGCACTCTTTGTTCCACTGGGCACCTGAGGTCCAGAAAGGTTCCTGCCTCATTAACATGAAGACTTATTAATAACTACCTTAGTTTTGTGTATGTAATATAGAAAGGCCTCTACTGAATTAAACAAGGAACAAGAATGTTGAAAGTTCAATGATATGACTACCATTTGAAATCATTTCAAAAGGAAATCACATGATATAAAGCCTTTTGGCAAACACATACCAAGGTTCCTGCCTTTTAAAAATGACTCTTAAAAAGCCATATGTTAGCATTGGTATGATACCAAGTCTTTTTTATTCAAGGAAGCTGCTTTCTAGTACATATGTTAAGACAGCTGGTTCTCTTACATCTAGTTATGCTAATCAAGTGGCTTAGCCATATAGTTTTAAAATACAAAACATACAGGCAGCTCCCTTACTCTGAATTAGATCCCTCTCTAAGTGCATCTTGAAGTCAAATTTGCAGGTAAGTTGGAACAGGTGCTTACTGTTCTCACTTAGCCTTCACTGAAATCCAAGGCCACCCAGCAGATTCTGACTGCCCACTATTCTCCCTCAGAGCAGCTGATGGATTTGAACCATTGACCTTTTAGTTAACAGTCCAACAACTATGTCACCAGGGCACCTTAGCTTTATTTTGATGCAAGGAAAAGCAGTTCACGGATTTAAAAGCTGTGCATACAACAAGTAAAAGTGATCCTGATGAAGAACATGTAGCATGAAGGGGTTGGTTTATCTTTCAAGTAGGGACAAATTTGCATAACATTAACTGGCAAGTACAAGTGCTGAAAATTGGATCTAGGTAACCTGAGGCCTTCTTGTATCTTAATGACACACAATTTTACCTCAATGATGTTGTTGGGTTTTTCTTTCTTCTCAGATTCTTTATCGTTATCTAAATAAACAGTTTGAGATTAAAGACTTGTTCACTTAGTTAAATTTTTTTTTATTTGATAAGATGCTTGCTTGCTTGCTCTGGATACCTCCCGAAAAGCTGTCAAGCAGTTGTACATGGAAATGTCAGTTAACACTGGCTGCAAGGGTTCCAGAAGCAATTCAGATGGTGGGAGAGGCCGCCATCCAAACTGAGTAAGAGTCACTCCTCAACAATGCAAAGTAATTATCCACTAGGCAAGGAACCAAATGGTTTCTGTAACAACAAGGGGAAAAGGAGAGCTGGTTTGGAGAAGCCAGGCATAAGAATCAAGAAAATAATCTTCCCAGTTAATGGTCTTATCACTGACACAGTGCAGGTGACTCCACAAATGTCATCTTAAAAAGAGATGAACTTTATAAATATCAGTTTATAAAAGAACAGTAATACTGCTTTCTTCAGTAAAAACTACACAATCTTTAAAAGATGCTTGGAAAAATATCCACAAAAAGACTCTGTAACTAGGTACATATTCACCCTTGAGACAGTAAACTGGGCAGCAATTTACTGTCTCCTCTTGGCGTTGACAAATCAGCTTGACAAAACTAAAAACAGATTTCTTAATTTCAGTCAGAGAGCAGGAGAGCATTTATGTAGGGAACTGGCATTTAAGTCACACCAAAAAGTGATTTCAGAGTTGACCTATTAATTCACAATTCAAGGGAAAGAGTCCAAAGACCATTTGGTTATTTCTTACAGGAATAAGAAAATAACATTGTATTTCTTACCCTGACAACTTGCCGGGTACTTGTAATGAAGGCTTTTCTTATACTCAATTCAGTTGCATCAAGGTTGAATTTTCTAGGATTTGCTTCAACTATGCGTGGGTCAAAAAGTCAAGGTAAAACCATCTCACCATCAAAAGCCTGGCCAGCAACATTCTGCTAAATCACTCTCTCACGTGCAAGCAATACTATCTGGTCCAAACTTTCTGGAACATTGTCAACTTAGCACTTAATCACTAGCACATTTTCTCTGCCCACAAGTTTCGTGAGGATTTCTATGACCCAGGACAGAGTCTCCTGCCAGCTTAACAATCACAAACCCTGCTGACGAGGCCTACTACAAATCCACACTGTCTGATCACGGTTGAGCTGGCCACTTCCTCACACATGCCAGCCCTTTTGTTCAGTTTTGGGTTTGTTTGTTTTTTAACTCTGAAGCACTTATTTTTCATAGCAGCTTTTATAAACCTTTTATACTTGTCATTTCAAATACTTTCCCCTGATGCCAAGAAGCTCACCCTACATCTCATCTTAAAGAGATCAAGGTCAGGGAAGTCTCTCCCAATTCTCTACCCAACTAGCCTGCTCCTATCATCTCAAAGATACTCCCATAGCTGTTGTCTGTATATTTCCCTCCTAAGTATTTTAAGTTTAGATTTGTTATTCATTAATGTGTATCTTCCCTACTAGGCTATAAATCTCATGAGGGCTGGTACACTGGTTTGCTTATCAATCTAAGGTCAGTAACTTAGCAAATTCCTGGCACAGATAAAATTCCTGGCCTTGATAAAACTTGCTGAATGATGAATATCTTTTAAAATATTTTCCTCTTTCTCACTTCTAATCTTTCACCCTTCCCTCCTGCCTCAATGAAGAAGTATCTAGCTCTAACTGACTATTCATTCCATCCCTCACACATTCTGTTCCAGTCATTTTAAGGCTCATAACCTGCCTTTCACTAATTTAAAAGGTATTTAGGTCATAATGATGAATTCAAATTATGTATCTGACATACCAACTGCAAAAGCATCTGTATTGACTAGAGAGACCCTGATAGAAGCTGGTTTCTTTTGATATTTATCTCACTGAAAGGGAAACACAAAACATAAAATACAAAGAACTTGAAACATACCCCTGGTATGCTTTATGTCAGGTCTGGCTGAATGGGATATCTAGGTGTCAAAAGGCCATATAACTTAATTTTTAAGTTAATTTAACTCCTTTTAAGTTACTTCTCTGGCTGTTCAGTTAGGTCACTGGGATTATTTAACATGGATAAGATCAGCTTTTACTAAAAATTCATTTCATGGTACCAGATGCCTTTGCAATGGACACTGGCATTGTAATATCACTTCCTGACATGGAAATGATAGTCTATAAAAGAATTTTCCTCTGCTCTCTTGTCTTGTAAGTCTGGCCTATGCATTCGTCCATGAAAGGACAGCTAACACTCTTACACTTGCTTACTGTGCTGTGGGGCAGGCATTTTCTATGCTCTTTACAAAGCTCAATTCTTTCTATGCTTAATTCACAAAACAATGTTAAGAGCTTGGTATATCATTACCTTAACTTTCAAATAAACAGGAAATAAAAGCACAGATAGGTTAAGCAATGTGCCCAAAGCCACACTTAGTGGCTCCAGTTGTGACTCAACAGTCTGGGTTCATAACCATGACACTAAGCTGCCACTATGTATCAAATTTCTCATGTACCGCAGAAGAATTTGCCTTCATTATCTTATTAGACAATTATTTTAGCTGGGTCAAAATACAAGGAACATCAATTATTTTCAAAAAGTGTAAAATCAATGGACTTGTTCACTTGACCATATATCCTCAAATGGCTCAAACATATAGAAAAGGATATTAATGGTTTCATCCAGGTCTTCAAGATCCCACTCTATGCTCCGGAGATTGTTTCTCAGCTCATTGGTGGTCCAGTCAATCTCTTCCCGTGTTGCTGTCGAGGGGTCCTGGAGGAGCTCTGTCCATCTCTGAAACAATCCCTGGGCAGTGTTGACTGCTTTCTGTACTTCTCTGTAATGATGGGGCAGAGAATTGAGAGAAATTACAGACAACGTATTTCATGAACAAGTAACTGCATCATGTAAGTTAACATTTATGATTAGACACCATCCCTAGTAACCACCATTTCTAAAAATATTTTTCAAGTTGTTATAGAAGAGAGCTCTGATGCTCTATTGGTTAAGAAGATGCACTACCAACCCGAATGCAAGTAGTTCAAATGCACTAGCTGCTCAGGGGTGGGGAAAGATGGGCAATCACCTTTCATACAATTTACAGCCTCTAAAATCCTGCTAGAGGGTCAGCTAGGAGTTGATCCCAACTCGATGGCACCTAACAAAGAAGAATGTACAAGTATCAAACTTCTGAAATGTTAAAAAATAGCCTGAAAAATAGATTTCCAGATGATATGTGGAACAGAATAACTCTTATTTAAACTATTATATCAAGTCTGTCTGAAAAACACATTCAATTGTTCTTTGCATGGACTATATGTAAAAGAAGCATAAAAATCAAATTACAAACTAATCAAACTAATTAAAGAGCCCTTAACATCCCAATGTATTAATATTCAGGTATAAAAACACTGACACAATTTTTCTTTCGGAGGTGGAGTATAGGAATGGTAGAGAAAGGACCTCTCTTAATTGTTGGTAGGTTTTTAAAGAAATTACTTCAATATTTTAAAATCTTTTTTAAGAGTTCCAAACATCAGTAGCTTCAAAGAGATCTACTTTCCTGGATTGACTAGTGCTGAACAACAGATTCGTGTTTTTAGAGACTAAAGCCAGGCCACTGAAGACCAGGGTCTCATATTCTTTTTAGATTACGATATAGGCTTTCTAGTCATGGTCTTGTAACTCCCATGAAACAAATGGATGAAAATAAGGTGCTTGTAGCCCACCAAGATAATAACAGCACAACCTGCTCACACAAATCATGTGCTTAGAACCCTCATAAGGAACAGCTAGTTTTGCTATTCCACTAAGCTTAAAGACAGCCAATTCCAGAGGCTGAAGTGGGGGCGGGGGCTATTATCACTAAGAAGATCAGCTGGGAGCACACTTTGTCCTTCTGAGTGAGGGCCCCCACGCTAAGAATCTCCTAGACCCAGGAGAACGAGAAAAGGAGTTACAACACTAACAAAGAGATACCACAATACCAGTGAAAGAGGCAAGCACGAGTAACACCCAGTAGAGCAGAGTCCAGCAGACTAGGAAAGGCAGCAACAGGACCAGGAGATCAGCACCAGGACAATATGAAGAACTTCCTAACCCACAAAGTGAGGTGGCTTCAGTGGACTTGCTGACCACAGAAGAAGAGCACTGAGCACCTTCAGGTAGAAATCATGCTGATAGAGCAGGGTGCTTCCAGACATTTATATGAGGAGCTTTCTAACACTTGTCTGAGTGGAGCTGAGAGTGAGGGCCTGGTGGCAGAGGCCTGCCTGAGATAATTAAATGATACTTTATAAGTTATCAAAATTCCTTCATGAACTTCTCAATCCTAAAAAGCCTGGGCTAGAGCATACCACATTTCTACTACCAGTACAAAACTTCTATTTTTACCGTGAAGAAGCCGTTCTGATCAAAGAACTATGCCCTGAGTTTCCTGTTACCTCCAACTTGACTTTGATCTGATCCTGAATTGTAACTCGTTGCTTCCCTAATAAACTTCAAAATCATGTATACAGCCTTTGAGTTAAAGACAAATGTAATGGATGATCAAATCCAGCAGAGAAACAGAGTAGGGGTGGGGACTTTAGCATCTGGTGTCAGAATTGGTGAAATGGTTGCAGACTGAGATATGTCTGATCTCTGCTTCATAGGTATTAGTTATGGGGTGATGTCCTCTCTCTTCTCCTTGAAGTTCAAGTCTGCCATCATGCCATTTTCACACAGGGTCTTAAAAACATTTCTACCAGCACTGGGCAAAGATCCAATATTTAAATGTTATTCTCTAAAGCCTACGGCATATAAAAGCTAAAAAGGAATAATTTTTTAATATCATTACTCATGTGGTGGGGAAAACCCCACTTTTACAAAACTAAGAGATCTGTTTTGATTCTCTTATAATTTCTCATTATCCTGGAATAAACAGCACAACTTTATCTGTTCCTGTTAATCAAAATGCTTGCCTATGGCTTCAAGACAGGATCCGCATGCATTCTATTCTCTCTACCCTTTCAAGCACCAGAAGGGGAAGCAATAAAAGAAATGAAAAAAGGACCATATGATATTTGATTTTGCAGCATTCTGATGAGAATGAAAAGGTTGAGTGTTAAATAGAAAATTTAGCTACAAAGTTTCAGACTGAATAAGTCAGTGCGTTAAAATAGAGCCAACAGGAAATACAAAATGTATGTTCAAATCTAGGAGCTGGTTAAGTAATCTTACTGTTTCTCTCATGTCAGAGTCTGAACTTTGCTGCAAATGAAACTATTTGAGGTGAAAAGGGGAAAGATTAAAGAAATGAGATACAAACTGATCTTTATTCTTTACTGAGATTTTGGATAAATTTAGTGGAGAAACACCTAATCTCACATCTTCTCACAACGTGAGATACTCAGTTTATTTGTAAATGTTGAGTATTATCAAAATTCAGGATATAATTTCTCTTTCTTTTTAAAAACTTTCTTTTTACTAGTTTAGTTACAAAATTCTAATACAAATTTGAACAAATTCTTTCCATTTCCCTCACCCCCCCCCACCCCATCAAATTGTACACTACAATGATTAATCTCCTCTTCCCCCTGTATATCCATATCCCTCTGCTTCCAGCCTTTCCCATCCCTCCTGGATCATTATACTCATTCTACAATAACCACCATACAATATTTATCCTTGTGGGACTGAGTTAGTTCACTCAGCATAATGCTCTCCAGTCCCTCCCAAGTTATGCAATAATTGACAAAACTATTGCTCCTGTGTGTTGCATAGTATTCCATTGTGTGAATGTACCATAATTTCTCAATCCATTCATTTGTGGTTGGACATTTGGGCTGTTCCCATGTTCTTGCGATGGTGAGTAATGCTGCTATGAACAATGGTGTACAGTTCTCATATTCTCAGGGTATATTCCAAGTAGTGGGATAGCTTGGTCATACGGGATTTTTTTTTAATTTATTACTAATTTCAATGAGAATTTACAGAGACTTTGGATTTCCATTCATTCATTGTTGCACGTTTCTCCCCTCCCAACCTTCTCCCCTTAGTACACTACCCTCTTGGAAAAGTAAAATTCTTTCATTGTTTTACAATCCTTCCCCCTAGGTCCACTCCACTAGGCAGCCTTCGCTCTGGACTCCTGTCATGACAAAAATACCTAATCACATATCCCTTTTAAACAGTTTTCTCCCTCATCTGTTTCAATGCAATATACATTATTCAACCCATTTTTCACAGTCTCCCACCAACCCCGAGGTCAGTCCTGTTTTACAACAGTGGCACCATGCAGCATTTGTCCTTTTGTGATTGAGATACTTCACTAAGCATAATGTCCTGCAGGGTCACCCATTTTGAGTAACATTGCGTGAGTTCCTTGTTTTTCAATGCAGCTTAGTACTCCACTGTGTGGATATACCAGAGTTTCTCTGTCCATTCATTTGTTAATGGGCACTTAAGTCATTTCCAACTCCTTGCTATTGTGAACAAAGCCATGATAAACATGGGTACGCATGTATCTGCTTGGATGTCAGTTATGGTCTCTTTGGGGTATATTCCCAGTAGTGGAATTGCTGGGTCAAACGGTATCTTTATTTGCAACTTCTTGAAAAAGTGCCATACCGCCTTCCACAGTGGTTGCACCATCATATGAAATTTCTATGTTCAGCTTTTTGAGGAAGCGCCAAACTGCCTTCCAGAATGGCTGCACCATTTTACAATCCCACCAATGTATAAGAGTTTCTTTCTCGCCACATCCTCTCCAACACCTATTACTTGCTGCCCTGTTAAACTTTGCCACTGGAGTGAGATGGTACCTCACTGTGGTTTTGAAATCAAGTAACCTTTAAAGCTTATACAAATGATAGTATTTTCACATTGATCACTCTGCTACTGTGAATCAAAGGATATTTATTAAATATTCATTTCCTCTGTCAACTCTGATATTTGTAATTTAACTGGATTTATGATAATCAATTAAATAAAGCACACTGTATGAACACTAAAGAAAGAAAGAAATAAAAAGATTACCAAAGTTATCAATTCTAGAAAGTAAGTATAAATTTTTGGTTGAGTGCCTTAAATCTAAGACCTCTTGGGTTAGGGCAGAGCATGCTCTCACAGCCAGTGCACAATTCTGATTCTGGTAGTAAAATCTCTCAAGTTGGAGTCACTAAGTTTCTCAGGGCTCAGGACACATTTGTACTTTTAAATATTACTGAGGACTGCAGAGAACTTTGACTGATGTAAAGAATATCTACCACTGTTTACCAGATTAGGAACTCAATTGTTGTTGTATTGCTATTGTTGTTGTATTGCTCAATTGTTGTTGTATTGTTGTTGTATTGCTCAAGTCAAAACCAATTCAGAGCTAAACAGTGGGTTTTCAGAGGCAATAAATCACACGGGAGATTTCACCCATTTTTCTCCCAAGGAGGAGCTACTGAGTTTGAACCACCTGCCTTTGGGTTGGCAGCACAATTCCATACCACTATTTTAAAGATAGTAATAAACTTATTCATCTAAGAAGACCAAAGAATAGAAGATGTCTTTGAATTATGGCATTGATAAGAATATGAAATATGCCATGAACTGCCAGAAGAACTAACAAATCTGCCTTGGAAGAAATATAGCCAGAATGCTCCTTAGAAATAAAGATGCCAAGACTTCATGTCACACATACGGTGGGCATGCTCTCAGGAAAGCCTAGTGCAAAGAGTAGGATCTCCTTCTTGGTAAAAGAGAAGGTGAGCAAAAATGAGCAAGACTCTCAATGAGAAGAACACAACAATGGGTTCAAATAAAATAACAACTATGAGGGCAGTCTGAGGAGGACTAGACAGTGCTTGC